GCGGAACTAGCGTGCTACGTGGCCCGGCTGCCCGCCATCGTGTGCGGAGTGGTGTTGGTACAGTCGGCGTACGCGCTGAGGGAGGCCAGGTTTGCATTACTTATCTGTAACTATTTAGAAAATGGAAAACTGCAGCTCAAAGACGTGACGGCCAAGTTACAAACGAACTGTACAAGAACTGAAAAGTAGAGAAGATAATTAAAGAGAATTTACATTTCTTTTAATGTTATTGCAATTCCTGTACTAATTACAACAGTATACTCGATATATTTTAAATATGAAGATAGTTACAACATGGCTAGCTGTTGTTCGCGACTTCGCCCGCATGAAATAAAAAAATAGCCTATGTAACCCACGTAGCTTTCTAATGGTGAAAAAACTTTGGAAATCGGCGCAATAGATGAGTTATTTCAATACATACAAAAATACATATATTTCCACTTTTTAATATCAGTATAGAAGTATAGATAATAATTTTCGTATTAATAATGTTTCAGGAAATCAGGTTACGTGAACGGAGCGCCGGTTAGCGGCAGTGAGTTCGACGCCAGCCACTACGTGCCCGAGGCGCCCAGCGCGTTCACCAATGACGGCTTCCTGCCTGACAATAGTAATTATTGTCGATATCGATACGTTGTCTCTTTCTCTCTCTCTCTTTCTTCCTAGCATTTATTTCATATGTAGTCAGCTTCCCTTGTCAGTCTCCTCACAATTCCCTCTATCTAAGACATCCGAATTAGCACTCGCACAACGATACATCGACATATCGATACATTAACACTATTTATTTTCCATCTCTAATTATTCCTAGAGCTTTATTACCATGGTATTTGCGCAGCTCACTGTTACCTTATTGGTTATTTGTAAAAAGATGAGTTTTTCTCAATGCAAGAAACAAGGAAATTGTTCTATAAGTTGAACATCGTGGTTTTCCGCGATTGTACCTTGTATTTAATTGCAATTTGAAGTTTCAATTGATACAGATTTTATTATGTTACTGCTAATTTCTAAAGATACTGGCAGTAAAAAATACATTCTTCTTTTTTAATGTAAATTAAATGTGAAATAACCTCGTTTCCAGGTAAATCCGGCTCGATGCCGGACCTCCGGCGTCACTTAGCGACGCGTCAGTCGATGAGCCACGGCTACCCCGTGGTGCTGCCGCAGCCGCCGCCCGCCTACTGGCAGCACCTCTCCGACAGACAATACGCTGCTAGTCTGCGAGGATACCCGAAGCAGTATTCCTCGCCGCAGACGTACGGCACCTGGGTAGGGCCCAGGGGACATGACAATCCATACAAACGCAGACACTCCGTAGTCGGTGCATTCACTAATGACGAATATCCACCGAAAAGCTACGATCCATATGACGATAGAATGGATTGTAAAAGTGAGATCGCGTATCCATATTACCGACCGTATCCATACGATCCAAGGATGTACCCGGATTTCGATCCGCGATTCTATCCGGATTATAAAAGGGAGGAGGCGGCGTATGGTGTTAATCTGTTAAGACACGATCCGTATCAGTTCAGTGGATCTAGAGAGAGAGTGTTTTATAACGTACGGAATAGTCACACGTCGGTCGGCAACGAGTCCGATGATTTGACCAAATACAAGGATGTTGCGTTGTAAAATGTAAAAACTGGTGGAATATGTTTAAAAAAATGTGAATATTTAAAAGTAAAACTTTATAATCGTTGAAGTTGTTTAAGATGTGTGTTTTGAAGTTTAAAATAATTACTGTTTATACAGTTGTCGCCATATCGTGGCAGAAATGCAGCTCTAACAATTAATTAAAGTACTTTTTCCTTAAATGGAGCACCGTGAATTTCCGCGACTGTACCTAATAATTGTAAATATAAATTATGATTATTAAGTACCTATGAATATTGTGTAAATGGAAATATATGTTACGTGTAAGAAATATAGACATTGGACTGTATCTTGTAGGAAATAAAATAGGTTTTGGATAACCTTCCAAAAATCCAAATCCTTAACAAATATCTGTCCTAACGTTTCTTGTTTTCATCTGGTATCTAATATATGATACCGATGACAAACTACCAAATAAAAATATCAAGTTACAGTCTTTTGTACGTTTTACACAACAAATCTTTAATACTTTAGACTTAAATAGGTGCTATTTTTAAATATTTATAATTTGACCCTACTTTTTTTTTATAACAAAAGGTGGCAAACGAGCAAGCGGCCACTAGAATCCGACAAAATGGCGAAGCGACTGCTGCCCATAGACATCCGCAATTGCAGATACGTTGCCTACCCTTATCCGACGGAGGAGGAGACGCACATAAAGAGGATATTTGCCCTTCCTATGCATCTCCTCCACCTCCATCTCCTGCAACCTCTCCTTATAAGAAAAGGGTGGTAAAGAGAAAGGGACTTAAATTAGGCCAAACTTAAAACATTCAAATAGGCTTATACCTATTTGAATGTTTTAAATTTCAATGAATCGTGAATTTATTATAATGGGAAGATAATTTGTAAACATTTACATATTTTAGATACCAACGATATATAAATAATTATAAATAACACTTTACATAGTTTGTTACCTAATAGCCAAAGGTGTATAATTAGATGTTATAAAATAAATATACGAAATATCAAGTCAGTATTTTTATAAGAAATCGAATAATAAAAACTTTTATTTACATATTCTGTTGTTTTATTCCATTAGAAATATTTAGATAAGCCTTGGTCTACGGTCTCCGCCTAAAACACCAGAAAAACTGAAGATGGGTTGCCAGATGATAATAAGATTTTAGTTCCGAGTTAAAACTTTTTATGTAAGTAAAAATAAATAAAAAATGTACCTACAGTAAAAAACTAGTCTAATTAGTCTAGATAGAATCAAATTGATTCAAATGTTCGCGCTGCTTTGGCAGTGGGCAACAATGTTGCCCGTAATTTAAATCCCAATTTCGCAAGTGGTTGAAAGTTCGTGTTTAAAACAAAATGCACTTTTAAATTATTTTTTGAATCTTGTAACTTACCTATTGCATTTTTAAGAGTACTTAAATAAATAATTGAATTACGATTATTGCGTACACGATAAAATATTATAGTTTTCGGTGTTGCAACATTATTAATTGTTTTCCACAAATAAGAAATATGGTGAGAGATATCAATAACATCATGTATGAAACCGTGCTCTTTATCCTTTATCCTTATTTTTGTATTGATTTTTTAACTAAATGTAATCCATTAATTAATTACAATAAAGATGTCATTTAAATTAACTTGGTTATTTTTTTAACTGGTATGCATTTCTTTGCGTTTCCAACTACTGACACTGTGTATGGACGCACGGTGTATTCTATTCTAGTGCTTTAAACACTGTGTACATTTTTGTATGAAAGTTCCTTGGTATTTTGACACGGTGTCATTTGTTTGAATTTTGTGTCACCAATCCGGCTTCGGCATTCGCTTGTCAGTCAGAAATTTGGAATTGAAGTCGTCGACATTTCTCAAAAGTTTTAAACTTTTTAATTGTTTAAAAGTAACTTTTTAATCATATTTATGTGATATGAAAATAATGTTATTGAATAAGGCGTGATTTTTTATATATTTTATATATTTTATGTAGTTAAAGTGTCAGTTTTTAATGTGTGTTGTGAATAACTGTATTATTGTTTTGTGTAGGTGGCTACGTCCCTACTCCATGAATTGTCCTAATGTGAAAGTGTTTGCCGCATAAAATTTAACTTCCATTGTTTCAAATATTCCTGGTATTGTTAAGAAAATGTCTTGCGCTATATTTGCGTAAGGTGAAGTTATGAAAAAGTTTGCGGGGATGTGTTAAAGTACAAATTAATTTACCATTTTACGGGAAACAAGTTGGTAAGTTCATATTATTATTATAAATGAAAAAAGTTTTAATGTGGTGTATATTATTTGTATTTTAGTATATTTCATGATTCTGAATTATTAATTTATGTATTAACTCAATTTAAGAACTACATTTTATGTTACCATGTTTACCCAACTGTTTTTATATTCCTAAAGAATTCATTTATCATTTCAAAAAGATTCGAAATCTTCTATTAATTATTTTTATTTATTAAGAATATAATTATTATATGTTTACAAATTGATAACATTTTTAATCATGCAAGATTAGTTTGTTACATTATGTCACACCAATTAATAAAAAAATACTAAAATCATAATTACTTGGTGTACCAATATGTTTTGAATATACCTCATTACTACTCTTATTGAATGAATTGTAGTATTAGTAGGATGTTCATAGTTTTAAAATGTTTTTTTAAACATCTTAACAATAGATCTGAATGCAGTCCTCAGTTAACACTGCTACTTTAAAAATTGAATTCTGTGTAGCAACTTACAGAATGTTCCGAGTCTCTGTTAATATAAAATTACTGTACATATGTCTTAAAGCAATAAAAATATATTTCCAGCCTGCGAACACCAGCCATGAATGTGCCACCCCAGGTGAACGAAGGAGACGTCTTATCATCAGGTATTTAATATACTATCTTTGATTTACATTTTTTGGTATTTATCTAAATGACTTATGACAGGGTTACAGATTTAAAAAAAAGTCATTATATATAATAAACCTGCCTTTGTTCCTAAGCAGGGTTAGTGATAAAATACAGATTATATATAAACACTTTGAATAGTACTATGATAATGGTAGCTGGCTATACCTAGACTAGATTGGCTGGTGATGCCCATGATGACAGGGATTTGCTCTCGCTCACATCCCTTTATTCCCTTCCCCTTCATACCTATTCCCTGTATTCCACACATTATCTTACTATACAGTGGTAGTGTCCGCTTTAACATCTTAGTATGAATAGGCCGGCATGCCCGGTGTAATACCACGATCACACAGAAGATGGGCGTGAAATGGAAGCAATTCTGTGTTTCGTCTGATGAGTGTGGTGCCGGAGGCCTAATTTAAGTCCCTTTCTCTTTACCACCCTTTTCTTATAAGGAGAGGATGTGACGGGGAAGTGGATTTGATGGAGGAGGAGATACATAGGAAGGGGAGATATTCTCTTCATGTGCGTCACCTCCGCTGTTGGATAGGGGTAGGCAACACATCTGCAATTGCGGATATCTATGTGCAGCGGTCGCTTCGCCAGTTTGGCGGATTCTGGTGGCCGCTTGCTCGTTTGCCACCTTATGTTATAAAAAAAAATACTACACTTAATTTATACATGTAAGAAAAAACAATGGAATGTGTTCTATTGTTATTTTTAACAACCGTGAAATATTAAGCTCGAATTCCAACACTAATTGCGGTTTAAAAAACTATTTCTGTTATACACACTCGCACTAGTGCAATTTTGTATTTATGTACACAGATCATGTTGATTGTATTGTTTTTCAATTTGTAGTAATGTTTTTTGTATGTGACTTAATTATATCTGTACTGTTACTTTTGTTTCATTGATAAATATTCGCTAATATTAAATATCTAAATTCTTATATTTCCTTAATTCCAAATATATTACTTATTCTTACTTTATAAATGCTGAAGTTTAGAAGGATGGATGCTTGTTGATGAAATTTATGGTATAGATGTAGAGGATAGTCTGGAAGAACATATAGGCTGGTCACTTTTATTTTTTAATTCCAGGTGGATGGAGTTATGGTCGAAATAAATAAATGCTTTATTATTCCTCACTAATTACATTACATTTCATGGGAGCCTTAGCTCCTGTACTATATGTGGAATACATGTATAGTTGTAATAAAAAATCAATTGCAATTTGCATCACAGATTAGTTACGTTATTTTTTGATAACAGCTGGTTACGCTCTGCTTAGATAACAGGGTCCAGATAAGGTCATATTGCTAACAGATTATGTTAACCGCAGAATAGTGTAGATTAATAGGTTATTAGAAAACAATATTAAATAGTTTGACTGTAAGATCTTATATATAAATTAATATAAAAAACAACTTTATTTTTAAGTTTAAGGTAAATTATATAATAAGTGTTTTTTTTTTAATTTAAAATTGTTTTTTTTGTTTACCTTATGTTATGAATATATTCATTTGCATATGGTATTATGTAGGTGACTAAAAATGATTTTCCAATTTAATCCCCCAAATATATAAATAGGGCTGAAAGTAGGTGTGGAAAGTTTTCCTTCAGTATAAGGTTTAAAAATTGACAACAATACATTGACAATACTTTACAAGTAAAGTTATTTCGGGTTTTTTAATAATTCGTACTTCAGCGGTCGAAGACGCGGGCGTTAGTTAGTTATAACAGATAAGTCGTAGTAAAAGATAAGCAAGGGTTTTAAAATTTGATATCTCACAGCATCGCGTTTACACTTGTCTCCGGCAGACAGTTGTTACGTAACTCACGGCCGATTACTGATACGATATTTAGAAATGTAGCAACGTCTTTAATGCTAAAGTCACGCTTAAAATACAACTGCCCTTACAATTTTACGAAGCGAAGTTTAAGATTAGTTTCAGTAATCGGCCCTTAGTCAGATAAATGGACAGTCTGTTAACAAATGTTTAGTCACGCTATGATTCCTGTGAGCTTAAATGGAGGTGCGCACACTACTCGATTTTTAGTTGTGCAACTAAATAGTGAATTGGTTGCGAAACAATCGACAATCGCACAACAATTGTGCGATAATTTAGTCAAAGATGTGCGCTCTCTCTTAGATTACATTAGGAGTAACCTTTTAGTGAAATTCACGGAGGACTGGTTAGGGACCAATAATCTATCATATCTTTTTAAACGATATGCCTATATTAAATCCGTTCTTGCCATAGATAATTTTATTGTAAAAATTCCAATTTTAATTATTACCTACTTTCGTCTAAAAGTCTTTTATTGTATAAAAGATTTTGAACCATAAATTCATGAGTATGAGTCTAAATTATAGCTTTACAGATATAAGAAGAAGAAGAAGAAGATAAAGTTATCTTGTAGAAAATAATTTTCCCACGCAACAATTGTGTGCTATTTCCCCCGTGTGTCTGTAAATATCGGTCTGTCGGTCTCCTGTTTTGCAACTGTATTACCATCCCTCTTATTCTCTAGGAAATAATTGAGATAGCAATCTCTTGATACTTGATACTAAATAGATTTTTTTTTTTTTTATTTCTCTTTTAACAATACAAAAACAATTAAATCTAGCTTAAACTAAAAAAACGCTAAATAAACCTCAATGGTTTATTTAGCGTTTTTGCGTTTAGATATGTTGCTCTGCTGATTATAATTTGTTTTAATTGGTTTATTAAAGGTTATTTCTCACGAATAGGGTTGTCGACACGTAGGCCAGCACTTGACTACTGGCCAGTAGGCCAGGCCTCGTTCTGTTAGTGTTTATATTATGTCAGCCCAGTTTTTGAGCGCAAAGATTTTTAAAATCTTGTGTACCGACCCTAGTGTGGGATGACGCCCGTGAGATTAATCACCAGCTTTCTATTCGTTCCCACCGAGGGGCTCGGAGCCTATTCTAAGTAAGGGTGACTAGGCAATAGTGAACAACGCTGGCCCAGTGCAGGTTGGTTGACTTCACGCATATCTTTGAATTTCTTTGTTGATATGTGTAGGCATCACGATGTTTCCCTTCACCGTAAGAACGTCGGGTAAATTATGTACATATGAAAGATCGAAAAATCGATAATCACATTGGTACATGGCAGGAATACAGAGATATTTGGGAGATTATACTCGCAAATAGATTTTTTTAAACTGTAATTTCATAGCGTTTTTCGACAGATTGTGGTTTGAAAAATCGAGAACGTAATATATACCCTCGAAAAACATTGCCCTTCTCTAACTAGTGCAAAAATAAATTAGATTATACTGTAAATATTGTGTCTATATTTATCAACAATAGTGAAACTATAATCTATAAGCGCCATTGTGCAATGTTTGTTATCACATTGTATTGTCAACAGATTTTGTGACATCATTGGGCCTTAGTCCCGTTTCGATTTTTAGTACTCGGTATGAATTTCTCTCGTTGACAACTTCGAATTTAACATGAATATTAAAATATTATATGAAGTCTGAAATTAACTTAGTTTAATATTAAATTACAATTGTGTATTGTGATTAAATCAATATGTCCTTAAGGTGTCAAATATTACAAGGGCTCAGGTTTTATGACGATATTATATTTAGTAAGTACTGTTAGCGGGCACACCTTGACTAAACTATCGCACAACTGTATTGTTGACTGTTTCAGCTAATTCAACTGTTTGCACAACTAAAAATCGGAGTAGTATGACTTCTATATAAGCTTATAGGAATCAAAGCGCGACTTTACAGTTGCGAGATAGTTTAGTTTCAGGTGTGCATGTTGTAATACTATTTCGTAAAACTTTGTTGTACAAATTATAATCTGATTTATTTATCCTTAACACTGTCAATGCTACAGACTGTGGAGTTTATTTCCATTTCGTAGTGGCATGTAACGTGTTAAGTGATAATCTGAAATATTTTACCGTAACATCTTGTATTTCTGTTTTTTTAATAAGATTAAAATAGATGACAATATATCTTACTTCTTAGCTTCTTACTAATATTCTAAATGTGAAAGTTTAGATGATGGATGGATGTTTGTTAGAGTTTGTAGCCTAAACGCCTGAACGGATTTAGAGGATAGTCTGGAAAAACACATAGGTTACTTAGTTTTGTTTTTTTTTTTAATCACGCAATGGAGTCGTAAGCGAAAGCTAGTATTTTAATACAAATAAATCGTCAGTGGAAACCGACCGTAACAATGAAAGATTTTGTACTCTAGAAACCTTTGAGAATTTATTTGCACAGATAATTTAGTCTGTAATGTATAGAAGTTAATGCAAGTTTTATTTGACTTGTTGAATAAGAATTAGCTGTTGAATGGCCTGTTGCGTCCCAGCTCGGGCTTCGTAATGTCGCTTCCAGCTAGTTAGGGCTGCCTCGAATGCTCTAACCTAGAGGGCGATCGATTCCACGCCTGCGCCCTGCACCATACCCCGTACAAAGGCCGCCCAGCTTTCCACCAGGCTGGCCATGTTAAAATCACTCCGTAATTCGCAAATTATATCCATAAAAGTATTAAATTTCAAGCAATAATATAAGTCGAATTTCAATTAAATATCGTGTAAAATAAGTAATAAATTGAAAAGTTATTTTTTTTTGTGTTCGTTGATTTTTTCTTAATTTTGTTTTTTATAAACAGTCAGTTTTAAGTGTGGAATAATTACTATTGGTGTATAAAAATGTAGCCTCGATATTAAGGTAAGTTTAGGTGTACTTGTTGCGCCCTGTTTCGTTTACTTTGATTACGTAATTAGATATACTAGAACAGCCCTAATGAGTACTAAATTATTTTCGTCACGAGATGTTTAAATGTCAAGGAAAAATGCAAACTGTGTTATGTTCCTTAGTTTTATTTTTTTCCATAAAATTCTGCTTTGTGTATTCCTCTTGCCAGGTTCAAGTCTTCAAAAACAACTTACTTTAGATTTTATGATTTTTCAATA